CTGCTGTGAGCTGGAGCCGGGCTGAGCTGGGCTGCCGCTCGCTTTCGTTTCAGTCCCATAACCTGAACATCGCCGCTTTGTTTTGCTTTTAAGAAATTTCTTCCCCTTCCGCTCCATGAGCGGGTCGGGGAGTGTGGCTGGATGCAGGATACTGTCCTGGTGCTGACAGCCAGCTCTGCGGGGCGGGCGTGCTCCCTCAGCTCTCCTGTCTCCACGGACTGAGGAGTACGAGGCCCTGCGCAGTAAATAGCGTCAGGTGGCAGAGGAGCAAAGGTGTTTGTGGAGCAGCCCAAAGCCGTGTATAGGCCTTTTCCTCTAGCACAAGTGTCTGCACAGTGTCTTGGGAACAATTTATTGCAGCTAACGTTGATAAAACCAAAGTAACTTGAAGATTTGCAATGAAAAATTAATTAAGAAAACAAACCTCTTTAGCTAGAGTACAAATATGATTTATTGATATATCTTTGAATTGTTTATTTTTAATAAGTAGTAGTTCACGTTTAAAATGAACTGTAGATCAGATGAATTCAGGTTGGGGGTGGGCGGTTGCCTGCAGGCAGCAGAAGCTGGAGTGTTTGTAGCTGAAGGTCTCTGGGGAGCTGGAGTTGTCTTCTCAAAGTCCCAGTGAGATCCAAGGGTTGCCTTGAGTATGTTTTTCCCCAGCACACACTAGAGATGAGGGTAAACATGGAATTTTTCCATCCATGATGACTGCTGGGTAGTGACCGTCTCTTTCTCGCTGTTTCTAGTGACCTCCTGATGCGGGACAACCTCTTTGAGATCATAACGGGCTCCAGGACCTTCTACATCCAGGTGAGGCAGCCGAGGCCGGTTTGCTTTTCTGGGCAGTAACTTCAGCTCTCGACGGCTCATGGAAACGGGCTGTTCCCCAGCAGCCTCGCGGCCAGCGAACACGGGCGGAGGAGTCTGCGGCAGCTTCTCCCGGCGCCGGGCACGGGCAGCGGGGGAGAACTGCCACGCGGTTTCACTTCTCCCCGTGGGCTTATTTATAATAGCGGCTATTTGTGGGAGCAGGAACAAGCAGAGACAAAAGCACAGGGCGATCCGATGAGCATTGCGCGGGCGCGGGGCTGTCTGCACCTCCCCGGCGCTGCAGATTTGGGCAGCCCTCCCTGCCCCGGGCAGGGGGATGCAGTTGGTCTCCCCGCTG